AAGAATTGTATGCACATAAGCCATATAGATGTTACTAGAAATGATCACAAGGGGTGCCTAGGCAGCTCAGTTGGTTAAGCGTCTGACTCTTGTTTCAGTTCTGGTCATGATCTCATGGGATCAAGCTTGGCTTAAGGCCCCACACTGCCAGTGTGGCTCACTCTTCACACTCTGCCTTTCTCAAGTTTTCCATGATCTTTTTTTTTTTTTAAGTTTATCTTTTGAGAGAGAGAATATTTATAAGTCGGGGAGGGGCAGTGAGGGGGGTAGAGAGAGAGAAGAGAGAGAGAGATAGAATTCCAAGCAGGCTTCACCCTAGCAATGCAGAGCCTGACACAGGGCTCAATTCCACAAACTGTGAGATCATGATCTGAGCCAAAACCGAGAGTCAGATGCTTAACCAGCTGAGCAACCCAGACACCCCTCTGCATTTTTCTTTGTATAACTACCTCTAATCTTGCTTGTTACCTAACATTAATGATTATGGCGAATGCTATTGCCTAATAGACAATTTCTCTTTTAAAAACTAATTTTTGAAGATTTAGTTAAAATTTAAAATGAGGCTACTCTCAGGCACCAAAATAAATTTCTTGGCTCACTGCTTTTCTCTGGTCAAAATTTAATGAGCACCTGAGTCTATCTGTATCGATCTTTGATTTTGTAAGTAGGATAATTAATTGAACCAAAACTCATTTTCAAATTAAAGTTAAAAATGAACTCCGTGACATTACTCCTATGGGAAGTAATTTTTAAATGTTCCAGAATTCGCTGTGCTTTGGTTACAAAGGCTTTTTTTTTCAGAGTAGAAAAGCAGAGGACAAAAGAAACGGGGAGAAGGAAGTAATGAGGGACGTGCCTGGGACCCCGCTGTGTACATTTTCCCCAGCCACTCCACAGACTTGACTCTCAGCTCTATACTTGCAGTGGTCTGTTTGCGCCTTCACCCTGCGCTAACTCGGCTAAAACAGAACAGTGGTTTTACTCTATTCTGCTTCACCAAGATCCAGCCAAGTTCCTCTCACTCACTGAGCACTTAATGAACACCTGATGACTAGGGGAAGAGAAGAAAATATGTACATATACCGAGCAGGAGAGAGGACAAGATTATGCCAGGATGTTTTTGGCTCTGAGCTACAGAATATCAAGTACAAATGGCTTAACCAATATGGACATTTTTTATTTTACGTGACACCCAAGTTCAGAGTCAGGGCAGTTCCGAGGTCGGTTATGCAGCTGAACAGTGTCGTGGAGGACCCAGATGTTTTTCATTTTTATACTCAGCCATCCTCAGATTATTGGCGATTTCTTCCGTTATAGTTGCAAGATGGATGGAGGAGTCCCAGATGTCACTTGACCATGTCCAGCAAAGCGTCGGTGTTTCCTCCTTGTGTGTATCTATTTATGACAGAGAAAAAACTTTCACCGGTGGTTCTCGTTCACTTCTACTCATGCGCTGGCTGACAAAGGCTACTGGGTAGACACCAACAGTGACTGGCATAGAAGTGCCAGACAGCAAAGGTAGGCAAAGGAGAAAGATATGCCTTAGGAAAAAGACTAGTGACAGAGGCAAGATGAAATAGTCGGTACTATGTAGAATATAGTAGAGTGTGCATTCTCCAGGCCTACTGGATTTTTAAAAATATTTGTTTGAGACAGAGAGTGAACAGGGAAGGGACAGAGAGACAGAGGTAGAGAGAGTCCCAAGCCAGCTCTGTGCTGCCAGCGCAAAGCCTGAAGCGGGGCTCGAACTCACGAACTGACTGAGCCACCCAGGCGCCCCTCGGCCTACTGCATTCTTACCTGTATATACACTACCTTATCCCTTGTATATGTATGAAGGTAGTAGAATGATATCATTCACAAATAACAATGTGTTTCTGATCCCAACTTTTACAGAAACTATACATTTGGAGATATGACATATCTGAAGTCTCAAGTATAAAATTGGTCGGCCCCATCCATGTTCTGGGAAGCTTATTACCTTCACAGGGAAACTTTCTCCAGTGCCATCCCTAGCCTTCCTCACATTTAACATCACTACTCTGCACAGAATAGAGAATAGCTTCAGGGGCACCTGGGTGGCTCAGTTGGTTAATCATCTGACTTTGGCTCAGGTCATGATCTCACAGTTGGTGAGTTTGAGCCCCGCGTCGGGCTCTCAGGTGTCAGCGCAGAGTCCACTTCAGATCCTCTGTCCCCCATCATCTCTCTCGTCCCCTCCCCAATTCATGCCTTCTCTCTCTCTTTCTCAGAAAAAAAAAATAAATAAACTTAAAAAAAAAAAGGAAATGGCTTTGGATGGAATTGGGTAACAAGTCAGAAGAACAGAGTTTTATTTTTAACATTGTGGAGTTTTATTTATCATTATTATTAACGTTTATTATTAACATTATAGAGTTCAGGAAAAGGAGGACTCAAGAAAAGGATAAATGAACAAGAATGACAAAGATAATTGATTTTTTTAAAAAAAGAACCTTAGTTTTTATTAATAGTTTACCACATATTCTTACTCTTAGAAAATATAAATAAAAGTAAACATACATACAGAGATGAACTAATCTTTATATTCTCTCAGAATAAAACGTGCAGCCCATTACAGATCTTCTTCAACTTATGACAAGGTTATGTCCTGGTAAATCCATTGTAAACTGAAAATGTTCTAGGTTGAAAATGCGTTTGAGGGGCGCCTGGGTGGCTCAGTCGGTAAAGCGTCTGACTTCAGCTCAGGTCATTATCTCACATTTCGTGGGTTTGAGCCCCTCGTCGGGCTCTGTGCTGACAGCCAGCTCAGAGCCTGGAGCCTGTTTCAGATTCTGTGTTTCCCTCTCTCTCTGCCCCTCCCCCACTCATGCTCGCTCTCTCTTTCTCTCTCTCAAAAATAAATAAACATTAAAAAAAACCTTCTCCATTAATACTTTAAAAAAAACCCAACGTGCTCAGTACACTTTCATTAGCTTACAGTTGGGCAAAATCATCAAACACAGAGACTCTAAATCATCAAACACAGAGGCTCTTTTATTACGAAGTGCCATCTCCTGTAATTAATTGAATACATCACTGAAAGTGAACAACAGAATGGTCGTGTGGGTGCAGATGGGCCTCGTGATGGGGCGGCTGCGGGGGAGCTGAGGTTCGTGGCCCCTGCCCAGCATCACAGGAGGGGCTTGCCCCTGTGCATGTACTGAGGACCTGGGAAAAGATCCAAACTCAGAATTGAAAGTACAGTTTCTGCTGAATGTATATTGCTTTTGCACCGTCATCAAGTTGAAAAACCTTAAGCCAAATTGTCCTAAGTCAGGACTGTGTATATATTCCAGGTGTTCTTAGATGTGTACACATACAGTTGATATTACCATACAGCACCTGGATAATTTGGACTGAATTGAATTAAGTAACATGTTACTAATTAGCAAAATATGAAAATTCTATACATAAATTACATATAGTATCACATTTTATGGTTTCTTTCAATTTCCCTTGGGTGCTACAGATAACAGTAAATCACCTATTTCACTGGCTACCTTATTGGTCTTCAGGAAATTGTGGTAGAATCCCAGAGAAGATTCTGAGGAACCCTTTATATTGGGAGGTTGATATTCCAATCTGTTGCTGTGGTCTTTTTCTTTTTTCTTTTTTTTTAAACCATCGTCCTCTTATCTGCCTCTTGTTCTTGAGATTACATATTACCTTCCCATTGTATTTCATATTTCATGTTAGATTTTTTAAACTGAAACATATTTGCTAATCAGTATAGTGTTAATTTGTAGAAGTGTGTCAAGCACACCAGAGTTGAATGAATCTGGCACATAATAACCTTCCATTGGTACTTGTTTAATGAAAGAATGAATGAATCATTCATATAATATTGGAACTTCTAGGATAATTATAATAATTGAAGGGAAACAAATATTGGACACTATAACCTGTATTTTCTAACATGATTTCTTTTTAGAAAATGTGATATTACCAATCTTCTGAAAAATTAAACACTGTGTTGTTTTTTTAATTAAAGACTTTAAGTGATATGCTAAATAGATATCTTAGCTTGGCTATTAAGACAAAAATTGCCGAGGCACTATAAATCGGGGAAAATGAGAACATAATTTGAAAGGAAGAGATTATAGAAATGGGCATATGTGATTCAGTAAGAGAGGCCACGAATACAATGAGAGGAGAATTCGTAACTACTTACGGTGTTTTATGTTTCTCAAAAGAAATTTTTTTACATACATATTATATATTATATGAGTCTGCCTGCTTGTTTCCCACACTCTATAATTTAAAAGGGCTGTTTTTATAGCTGCTTTTCTTGGACACACAAGTAAATCAGCATGTATATTCAAAAGGTTTTATTCCTGACATGCAAAATGGTTAAGAGAAATGTATTCCTTTACGCAAACATTAACATTTCTCTATTAAAGTAGGTTGTACCGTTGTAAATCTCATTTTATACGTACAATGAAAATTCCTCTTTTAATTTTCAATAAGCTAAAAAAATCTTTTAAAAGTACTATAAGATGAAAGGAATTTAAAAATTGACATTATTGGCACAAGATTCATGTTAATGTTTACTCATGTAAATAGCACAAAATACTGCCTAATTAGTGTGGTTGGTAAATTTTTGGTACTTTAATTTTCTCTGTTATTGTAAACCATGCATAAAATGCTTGCCTATTGAGAAGTGCAGAATTGTCAGAGCTTAAACAGCTGACATCTGCTTACTCTCTTAAAAAAAAAAAAAAAGAATAACAAGCCATTTCAGCCTAATCTACCTCAAATGTGTTCATGTAAATGGAGGTCCATCTATTGACCTGTATTCTTTTCAGCTCGGGATTGGTCCACATGGTTTATGAAACCGGGAAGGCTGATTTGAAATGCAGATGTCGACACAGTGAAGTACACCCTCCCCTTTTTTCTTTGCTGTATCTGTCAGGGTGAAAAATGGCTTGCACAAGGGTCAGTCACCCATCCTCACTTAATTACTTTTCTCGGACCCACAGAACTGTCACAAGCTGTGGTGGACGCGGGAGCAGTTCCTCTGTTAGTACTCTGTATCCAGGAGCCAGAAATTGCTTTGAAAAGGATTGCTGCTTCGGCCCTCAGTGATATTTCAAAGCATTCTCCAGAGTTAGCCCAGACCGTGGTGGACGCGGGGGCTATTGCTCACTTAGCCCAGATGATCCTGAACCCCGATTCCAAATTAAAGGTATTTAAAAAGAAAGTCAACAAGCAAACAAACAAATCAGGCTCTGATTACCTAAGAAAATGGAAGTGGGTGTAGCTTCATGTTATACGTGTAAAAATAACTAGAAAACTATCATTGAAACAGATATGGACTTGTGTATTTGGTCTTTTAATATGTGGAACTTATGCTGTAAGGATTAGACGACAGACATATCTGGTTAAAATATGTGCAATGCCAAAGACTGCAAATAGCATCAGTATGAGCATTAATCCTTAAATAAGGAATTACACAGTGCCTGAATCTCAGGGTGGGCCTGAGATGGTGGCCCTGAGAACCCACCCAAAGGTTCTCTAGCCCACCACTATTTTATTTAACTTTCTTAGGACAGTAGCCGTATTTATCTTAGTCGTGTTTGTGTTTTTTTTTTTTTAGTTTCCTTCACTGTATCAAGATTGATTTATGGTTTTTTTTTTTAGCTTTCTAAAACCTGATTTTCAGTTAATAGTCACTAGCTATACTTTCAGATTCTAGTAGTTATATTCTATAAGATTTTAAAATCTTAGCTAACGTTAACTAAGTCATGGAAAGTTCTTTGAAACATTATCAGCATGGCGCCAAAAATAAGATGTTACTTCTGCTTGATGGTTTTTGTACTATACTACCGCCTCCGTCATAAATTAGCAATGTGAGTATTAATTAAGAAATATCCAAAGGTCATATTCTTCGATCATCTGCATAGATGAAGAGACTTAAATAGCCCACAGAAGAACGAAGACATTTAATCTGGAGATTAGGGGATTTAAGAAATGGAGTATTTAGGGATAAGACTAGGAATTGATTGTCCCAAGACTCCTAAATCTGAGGTTATGTTAGCAACGTAGTTGTTTTTTTCCTTTCTGTCAAGGAGTTTGAATGTAAATCAGACCGGGACTCGGCAGCATGCCTTGTGTCACGTTTTGTTTTATTTTGGGTTTCGCTCAACAGCGTCAGATCCTTTCAGCGCTCAGTCAGATCGCGAAGCACTCCGTGGACCTGGCGGAGATGGTGGTCGAGGCAGAGATTTTCCCAGTTGTTCTCACCTGCCTGAAGGACAAAGACGACTACGTGAAGAAGAATGCTTCTACTTTAATTAGGGAGATAGCAAAACATACACCTGAGGTAAAAAGAAAAACAACTTTTTTAGGGTTTGAAGCTACAGGAATACGGAGCTGGTTTTTATGTAAAACCTGAGTGTGTTTACAGGCTGAGGGCGGTGCCACAGGACCTGGTTAGGTGAGGGATTCTGTCCTCGGCGCTCTGGACCCTTTGGACTGGGTGACTGTCGTGGGGGCCTGGCCTGCACACCGTACGATGGGTGTTTAGCAGCTGTCCCGGCCTCTCCTCACTAGATGCCGGTAGTACCCCGACCCCCATCATGGCAAAAAAGTCTCCAGAGATTGCCAGCTGTTTCCTAGGGGACAAAAAAGTGCCCCTAGGTGAGAGCCACCGGGCTCTAGCAATGGGGTTTGAATCTGAAATCTCAGTTTGTAGTGATTTCCTGCTTCCCATTTCTAAGTTGTGGGGGCCGCGGGCTTTTGTCCTACCTGTCATTCTAGGTCAGCTGGCAGTAGGGAGAGATCATGTGCCTCCAGGTCTAAAGAACCCCCCCCACCTCCCCACCCCCCCGGCGCACAGCCTCACATCAGCCCTCCACTAACTGCTTGAGTTCTCAGGTGCGGAAGGAGTAGAGACGAAGAAAGTCTGGGTGGATTCCGAACCTGTATCTTTCCCTGTGTATGTTTTGACTGATCAATTTCATTTCACTGAACTTTAAAGCCCTCATTCTTTATGTCACCTAACGTCTTCATTTGGTTGAGATTTTTCAAGATTGAAGACTGGCAGTCAGCCAGTCATCATTGCTAGCAAAGAGGGGGATCATTAGGCTGGAAGATTTCAAGTCTGACATTGCCTTTTAGCATTCAGTGATTAATGTGCCCCATTCTCACGCATTGTGATTGGGAGTTTCAGTAGTCAGCTAGTTATGAACTAGCCCTAGGCTTAGTGTCTAGGTGAGGAATTTTGACATCCATTAAAATAAGGATGAAAGTTGTGCTATCGATGCATGAAAAATGGAAACCACAGGGCGGCTTCTCACAGCGAGTCGATCTGCACATTCGAAACTGCGGGATTCTTATATTTGTATGCTTCCTTAACGAATACAATAATCCCACCGAACGTTTCAAATTTCACGAGCTGTTTTTAGGTCCTACATAAAAAAATTTGGCCAGACCAAAGTCATATTTAAAGATCACCTCGCACGTCACAGTCACAATGATCTGGCTCTCCTTCTCTCCTAGCTTTCCCAGCTGATAGTGAACACGGGAGGAGTGGCAGCCGTGACCGACTGCATCGGGTCCTGCAAAGGAAACATAAGGCTGCCTGGCATCATGATGCTGGGCTACGTGGCGGCTCATTCTGAGAACCTGGCGATGGCAGTGATCATTTCCAAGGTCTGCGCTTGTTCCATTCCCTTAGTTGCCGCAGTGACGTGTTCTAACAGGGAACCAGACACACATACTCCCCCACACACTATAAAGTATAACTGACTGGAGTGAGAGAATTACCTGAAATGTTTTCAAGGCTTATGAGTCAGTTTCCCAAAGCAATGCTGGAAATAAGGTTTACTTTGCACAAGTTTAAAATTGTAGCCTGTGTTTAGTATCAACAAGCCATCGACGCCTCTGAGTATTAGTATTATGTGCGTTTAAATATTACGTGTAGTGGGGCGCCTGGGTGGCTCAGTCGGTTAAGCGTTTGACTCTTGGTTTTGGCTCAGGTCATGATCTCATGGTCTGTGAGTTCGAGCCCCTGAGCTGACAGTGCGGCGCCTGCCAGGGATTCTCTCTCTCTCTGCCCCTCCCCTGCTCTCTCTCTCTCTCTCAAAAATAAATAAGCTTAAAAAAAAATTAAGTGTATTTATATCTTGAAGGATTGACTACATATTTACAGACACATAAAGCACACTTTGATTTACGTAGGAAACAACTGTTATAAATGACATATCTGGTGGTAGTCTTCATTATTCTCTGAGGTCTGTACATTGTCCTCTCCCCTGTCATTTGGGTAGGAGATGACAAGACTAGGTCTTCCCTTCTTTATCCACCTTCTCTTCGTCAGCTTTCATGAACTAATTTCTCTTCTCAGAGGTAGGCAAATCAGAGCACACATCAGACGTTTTTGTTTCCTTGCTCTAGGGACTTGGCCCTATCTCAACTTGGTCTTAACCCGCCATGGAGTGTAGTCTTGGCACGTAGTAGGTGCTCAAAAAGTATTTCTTGAACGAATAAATATTGATCTCCCAAAGAATGCTGCAAAAGCCGTGCGCTCACAGTGTCTCTGGCAACTCCCTGGGGTGTGGGCTTCTTATCAGCATAGAAAACCTGCAGCTCTATGGTCAACAGAAGTGTGCATTTTTTTTCTTATCCCTTGCTAATCCTCTGAATAAAGAGGAACCTCAGATCTTTATTTTCTACCTATTCCTTGGTAATTCTTTGCTCCACTCCCTTTTTATCCTGCGCCTTTCCTTTTGTTCTTCTATTACCAAAGACTGTGGTAGCGACTAGAGGGGCAGTGCAGCTTTCTGCAGGGTCACCACGGGGACAGTATTGGGAGTTTTGATTTGCAGTTCTTTGCGCACAGGCAGAAAGCCCACACGTAGGAAGAAGGATGAAAGAAGCGATTACTTTTGCTCCCTGTGTTTCTTCCCCAAACGAACCAGGAGGCCCTCCCCTCCTTTGGTCTAGGGCTGCTGCTGGCCTCTCCCACCCAGTTTGCCCTTCAGTCAGTGAAGCTGAGGTGGAGGCAGCAGCAGTTTGAGGCAGACCTCACAGGGCCGATTTGTTCTTCCTTTTTCCTATGCAGCACCACAAGGACCAGTAAGAACCCGCGTTCAAATAGCACTTTATAATTTTCAAAGCACGTTCGAAACAACTGAGGCCAGTAAGTCAGAATCTGGGGGGATGGGCAGAAGGTGTCTTCTCTCCCTCTTGCTTCTTCATTCTTGATGTATCCCAGAAGTAGGGAGTCTCTGGAAAGTTTCCTCCTTCTGCAGACCGATCTGACCTTTATCGTATTGGCAGACACCCATGTTTCATTGTAAGAAAGAAGCCAGTGAAGAGACATGGCAGGTTTCTTCAGGAAATTGGTCTTACTTACAGCGAAATTTAAAGGCAGACGAGGGGCGCCTGGATGGCTCAGTTGTGTAGGCATCTGGTTCTTGGTTTCAGCTCATATCGTGATTTGTGAGTTCAAGCCCTGCATCGGGCTCTGTGCTGATAGTGCAGAGCCTTCTTGGGATTCTCTCTCTTTCTCTGCCCTTTCCCTGCTCGTATGCTCATTCTCTCTCTCTCAAAATACATAAAGAAACTTAAAAAAATAAAGGCAGACAAAAAGAAAGCATACATGATCATTTGGCCTTTGCCGTGGTAGCCTGACCATGTGATGATATTGGCTTTTATGATACTAAATTTAAGGTGATAATCACTCTTTTTTTATTATTAAAATTTTTTCAAGTTTTATTTATTTATTTTGAGAGAGAGAGAGAGAGAGAGAGCACACATCAGCAGGAGAGGGGCAGAGAGAGGGAGACAGAATCCCAAGCAGGATCCACACTTGTCAGTGCAGGCCCCATGTGTGGCTCGAACCCATGAACTGTGAGATCATGACCTGAGCCAACATCAAGATTTCAGATACTTAGCCGACTGAACCACCCAGGCGCCCTGAGGTGGTAATTATTATAGTCTCAAATTCGTTAGGAAACTATGCCTATACAGAATTTGGAATTATAAATTGATTTGGTTATTTGAGTCTTCCTTGGGTTTATACACTATGGTGCATTTGAGACCCTTTAGTTAATTCTGTTTTGAGTACTGAGATAAAACTGAAGCCTGTGTGAAGTATAAGCACATGCTATCTGTGTAACAAAAATAATCATTTCTATTTTGCCGCTTAATCATATTAAAATGGGAAAAACTACCATTTAAAAGTTGGCCAAAATAAATGAAAATCATTTAGTGATCAGGAAAGTTGTCAGTGAATGTATTTCATCGAAATGTTACTTAAATAGAATTCTGGTTGGCTCATATAATTTTGGATCTACAGTGGTTATTTTGCTGTCAGATCTATTATACTTGGTGAAAGGCGATTTTTTTTAAAGCATTCTAAATTAACTTTTAAAACAAAGGCCAATAAAAGGTTTTAAAACCCTAAGCACTTTTTTGTCACAGCGGAATCTGGTTTTGCCTGTAATGTCCGAGTCTGGCACATCTGCTGTTTGGTTAAATGCCTCTCTAGCTGGGGGAGGAAACGCTAGCGGAGATATTCTTAGTTTAGCTGGATTGTTACAGATAATTAAGGTAAATTAGTTCTAGTCATTTTATCGACTTGAAAAATGACAGCCCCTGTGATGTGCTCATTTATCGAACCGTTGAGGAAAAAAAGGATCAAGGCCAAAATGCTGCCTTCTAATGTTTGAGAGCCACGGAAGACTCTTTAATCCTGCCCTGGATTCCTAACACTTGCTCTTTTGATGAATGCCGCAGGGCGTGCCCCAGTTGTCGCTCTGCCTGTCCGAGGAGCCGGAAGATCATATTAAGGCCGCTGCCGCCTGGGCCTTGGGACAGATTGGGAGACACACCCCCGAGCACGCGCGGGCCGTCGCTGTCACAAACACGCTGCCTGTTCTACTCTCGCTGTACATGTCCACGGAGAGCTCGGAGGACCTTCAGATAAAAGTAAGCGCTTCCTTTTTAACAGCCGGATGGATGTTTGTTAGATTTGGCTCATTCTTAAAAATAATGTCCTTTTAAACGTGTTTTAGCTATCATCGTGGATCATACTGATTTCATTAGTCGAGAAATACAAACTTACCAGAAGAAATGAGGTGGCTTTTCTCTGAAAATGAGTTACCCTTATCCCCAAACGTCAGCGATATATTTTAAAGAAAGTTCTTTATAGGTTGCAACATGGTTTGTAAAACGAATGACTGGGTTTTGCACTCTGCATTCATGTTGACTTCTCTTATGGAATAGGAATTGAATAATAGGATTCTGGAGGTGGAATTAGTTAGAACTTTGGTCCAGTCAACATTAAAAAATTGAATCTAAAAGAATTTTAAGACTTGCTTTCCAAAGGTATCATACAGAAAGTATTCCAGAAGCCAAGATCTACCTGTTCTAACTCTAAGTCTGCTTGATCTTTTAATAATACTTTATATTTGTTCCTTAAAAGAAAACTGTCCATAAGATTCACTAAGTTAAAAATTTTTATATCATGCATTTAAAAATTACTTTAATTTTTTTTAGTTTCAGTTTTGAGAGAGAGACAGAGACAGAGTGTGAGTGGGGGAGGGGCAGAGTGACGGGGAGACACAGAATCCGAGGCATGCTCCAGGCTCCGAGCTGTCAGCAAAGAGCCTGAAGATCATGACCTTGGCCAAAGTCGGACACTTAACCAACTGAGCCACCCAGGCGCCCTACCTCATGCATTTTTTTTAAAAAAGCAAGCTTTCTGAAATAAAAATATTACCAGCTACCAGAATGAGTCACAAAGCATGGATTTAATTAGGAGGGGTTGTTTAATAAGAATTTCAAAGAAAGAAAAAAATGTTTCCCAGCATAGTCCCTATACTTTTTTGAAAGCAGTTTTCAGAACTGACTTGGACTGAGGAAAATGCACAGGAAAGAAAATAATTCAAAAGAAACCAACGACAGTAAGTTCAATTACATTTAAATTTTAGTTACAACAACAAATTAACAAATAGGAAAGTATGTTTGCTGAAGCAACTTTAGATGGTATAACAAGGCAGGAGGTTTACTTGAACTAGACAGCTGAGGGATTCTGAAAGTTACAGAATCATTTATTGGATTTATAAATTCATAAAAGTGAATTTATGTGTATTTGGTTATGTTTACATGCTATTTCTCTACAGATTCACTGAGGGATGTTTACTTCTAAGACTAACCATTTTTTCAATTTTTGTAAGACTTTCTAGATCAAAGCAATGATTGAATAGATTCAGGGCTTCCCTCACGTTTCTCCAGTGTTGAGCAGATGGTGCTTGGCGATGCTTGGTAGAGAGGAAGATTGACAATATGCTAAGGCCTCTCCCTGTTTAACAATTCTGTGATTCTTTGGCTTTCGGGTGAGAAGCCACAATTACATTTCCAGTTTTGAGTTGTCCAAGTACAGCTGGTTTACACGTGTATCATTTTAACTTACGTATGTAGTTCTCTTTTTGCCTCATAGGTTTTGAACCCATCAACACACTTGCCTTTTTTTCCACCCTCTTTTCTCTCAGTCTACCTCCACTTCCCCCACCTCCCTCCTCCTCTCTTCTCCTTCCCACCCTGGCCTGGTCCAAAGACCTATGGCCTCCCGCGCAGGGTCTCCACAGGGGTGAGCTGTGCCCAATATGTAATAGTAATCATGTTCAACTTCTGGGTTATCAAGACGTAAATTATTAGCTGTATCTATCACTTTCAGATTCCCGCATTGAACAACTTTTATCTTCCTTTAAGTTTTAGAAATAAAGGAATATATCAGCTACAGCATGAATGATTAATTGTGGAATCAATGGTAATTATAGTTTAAGAAACCCTGATAAATAGTGTCATAGCACTGTATACTTTTTATATACTACTAAGTTTATTTAACTTGGTTTTTAATGAATTATTATGATGTTGTGTTGTATAAATATCACCAGAGTAAAATCAGTTTGAGAACTTCACCTTTGGAAATAAGACCGTTTTTGTTGTGTATAAGTTTAACAAAGTTAGTTTTATTAAAACATTCAGGTTTACTATAGAAGTTAAGTTTCCTTCTGCTTATGTTTGATACAATATTTATTTTCAGGAAATACAGTGGGTATTAAATTAAAAAGTAGGATCGTTATCAATCATTATCACGTCAGCAATCTTTCCAAGGCTTTTTAAGTTCATCCAAATATTTTCTTATTGTAGGGACTTGATTATTATTTTTTGCTTCCCCAAGGTTTCTTGGATTCTATCATTTGTTGTTTTAAAGGCCTTAGAACAAAAGTCCAAGGCTGTTTGATTTGACATTATCTCAGTAGGGAAAAACGTATCCAAGAGCTTTAGGAACCATCTAATGGTATTCCTTATTTGTTACTCTGTGGCAGCTTTCAAATTAAAGGCCATGTTGAAGTTCATTTTGTCCCAAAGGCATGTCAGCTTCTGTAAGCATTCTCTAATTGGTTCTGATCCAGGAGAGCCAATGAGCAGTCCCTTGGAATTGCTTGCATGTTTTCACAGAGCCTTCTATCTGCTGGTACCTAAGTTCTTTCCAAAGCCTTATTAAAAGCTGAAAAAAAATCTAACTTTTATTTAACGAGCTCACCTACATATATTTTGAAAACAGTCACGCAATTGCCTTTTCGTTTGCTTTGATTTAGAGGCATCCTATTGAAATGGTCCATCATAGTCTGGGATCTGAGTAGGTTCATTTGATTACCTTAGTTATGAAAGCATTTCGAAGATGACTTCATGATTGTGTTCTTGTCTCCCTTCATTTTCTAGCAGTTTTGTTGACATGTAGCTCATATGCCATATAAGTCACCCATTTAAAGTATATAATTCAGTGGTTTTGGTACATTCACAGATGCAACCGTCACTACAATTTAATTTTAGAAACTTTTCATTCCCCCTTAGCAGTCACTCCATACCCTCCCAGCTGAGCTCCAGGCAGCCACTAATTTACTTTCGGTCTGTGGGGATTTGCTTCTTCTGGACACTTCATTTATTTATTTTTTTACTAAAAAAATTTTTTTAAACATTTGTTTTTGAGAGAGAGAGAAGGAGTGTGAGCGGGGGAGGGCAGAGAGAGAGGGAGACACAGGATCCGAAGCAGGCTCCAGGCTCTGAGCTGTCAGCACAGAGCCCGACGCGGGGCTCAAACCCACAAGCGGTTGAGATCATGACCTGAGCTGAAGTCGGACACTAACCAACCGAGCCACCCAGCTGCCCCTTCATTAAATGGAACCATACATCATATGCAGTCTTTGGTGCCTGGCTTCTTTTCACTTAGCGAAAGTTTCCAGGTTCATGCATATTGTAGCACATACCAATATTTTCTTCCTTTTCATTGCCAGATACTATTCCATTGTGTTACCATACTGTGTTGTTTACCCATTCACCAGTTGATGGACATTTGGGCTGTTTCTGCTCTTTTATTATTATGAATAATGCTGCTGTGCACATACTGTACAAGTCTGTGTGTGGATGTATGTTTTCACGTCTCTTGGGTGTAAACCTAGGAGTGGAATTGCTAGGTCATATAATAACTCTTTTTAACATTTTGAGGAACTGCCAAACTGTTTTCCAATGTGCCTGCACCATTTCATATTCCCAGCAGCAATGCATGAGGGTTCCAATTCTTCTACATTCTTGTCGACGCTTGCTATTGCCTTTGTTTTTTCACTATAGTTATCCTGGGAGGTGTGAATCGGTATCTCACTGTGGTTTTGATTTACATTTCCCTGATGGCTAATGATGCTGAAAAATCTTTTGATATGCTTATTGGCCATTTGTATAGCTTCTTTGGAGAAATGTCTAATCAGACCCTTTGTTCATTTTTTTTTTAATTTTTTTTTTAATGTTTTATTTATTTCTAGGAGAGAGAGAGAGAGACAGCGTGAGCAGGGGAGGGTCAGAGAGAGAGGGAGTCACAGACTGAAACAGGCTCCAGGCTCTGAGCTGGCAGTCCGCACAGAGCCCGACGCGGGGCTCGAACCCACGAACCGCGAGATCATGACCTAAGCGAAAGTCGGACGCTTAACCGACTAAGCCACCCAGGCGCCCCTGTTCATTTTTAATTTGGGCTATTATCTTTTTATTATTTTGTAATAATAAAGGGTTGTAAGGGTTCTTTATATTACAAAAATACAAATTATTTTTTTAAATGTTTTATTTATTTCTGAGAGAGAGAGAGAGAGAGAGACAGCGTGAGCAGGGGAGGGTCAGAGAGAGAGGGAGACACAGAATCTGAAGCAGGCTCCAGGCTCTGAGCTAGCTGTCAGCACAGAGCCCGACGCGGGGGTCGAACCCACGAACTGTTAGATCATGACCTGAGTGGAAGTCAGACGCTCAACCGACTGAGCCACCCAGGCACCCCTTGAATACAAATTCTTATCCTTTATATGATTAACAAGTATTTCCTTCCATTCTATGGGTGGTCATCAATTTATTGACAGTGTTTTAATGGAGTTCAATTTATTTATTTTTTCTTTTGCTGCTTGCCCTCTTGGAGCCCTATCTAAAAGGACTTTGCCCAAAACGAGGTCATGAAGATTTACTCTTATGTTCCCCCTTCCTTTTAATAACGATAACTCTTTGGGCTACGATGCTTTCAGAACAAAATTAATTTTTTGAGTAAAAAACATTATTCATTTAAGGCAGTTTTCATTAACGATCATCCATTAAGGAGGGTAACAATGAATAATTTTTGTTATTTCTTTTATTTTCTGTGGAAAATAACTGAAATGGTATCAAGTATTTTCATAGTATTGACAATTTCATTTTGTTAATTGTGATTCTTACGTGTGTCGTTAAGAGATTAAAAAATAATGTTGCTAGTCACTTACTGTGGGTTTTACAATAGCTTTTATTAATGTGGACAGCGTCAGCTTTTAGAAATGACAGAAAAATGAATGAATGTAGAACTGTATATGCTATGCTACTTTATGGGAAAACCAGGCTCAAATTCAAGTTGCCCTAAATAGACAGCTCATGACTCCTTCTCTGATAGCATCATATATTTTGTATATTTAAGGATAAACACTAGCTACTAAATGCTGTGACAATTAGAAAAATTCATAATCTGTTATTTCAAAGTAATAAATTACTTGATTGGCTGAAAAAAAAAAAGGGTTTGTTTACACCACATAAATTCTAAATAATTCACAGTATGAAGTGGTAAGGACTATTTTATTTTGCTCACTGCCATAAATAACCAAACAGAAGGCATATTTTATAAAGGCTAAGAAATTTTAAACCCAACATATGATCTTGTGTGTAGAAAATACTAAAGAACACACACACACACACACACACACACACACACACACACAAATACTAGAACTAATAAGACTTCAAGATCACCAGATATAAAATCAATATATAAAAATATATCGCAGTTTCATATGCTGGTAATGAACAATTCAAATATGAGGGGTTCCTAGCTGGCTCAGTCGGTAGAGCATGTGACTGTTGATCTCAGGGTCATGAGTTCAAGGTCCATGATGGGCATAGAGATTATAAATAAACTTAAAAAAATATGAAATTAAGACCATAGTTTCATTTACAGTAGTATCAAAAAGAACAAAACACTTAGGAATAAATTTAACAAGAGAAGTATAGATTTCTACACTGAATACCAAATACTGCTGAAAAAAGTTAAAGAAGGTCAGAATAAATGGAGAGACATTCCATGCTCATGGACTGGAAGATTTAATATTGTTAAGATGGCAATACTGCCCAAATTGATCTGTATATTCAGTACAATTTCTATCATAATCCCAACTGGCTTCCCTCCTCCCCTGAGCTTAAGAAACTGATCCTAAAATTCATATGGAAATGCAAAAGACCAGACTAGCTGAAACAATCTTGTAAAAAGACTTATACTGCCCAATTTGAAAACTTACTACAAAGCTACAGCAATTAAGATTGTGTGGTACTTGCTTACAGAAAGACACATATATCAATGTAACTGAATTCTGAAAATCTGAAATAGACCCTTTTACGGTCAATTGATTTTTCACAAAGTTTCCAAGGCAATTTAATGTGAAAAGGATAGTCTTTTCAGCAAATGACGCTAAGACAATTAATATATCCTCAAACATAAAATATTAATTTGGATCCTTATACCATATATCAGAATTAACTACAAACGGATCATAGATCTAAAAATAAGAGGAGTACAAAACTCTTAGAAGAAACCTTGGATTAGGCATTCATTTCTTAGAAACGACACCTAAACACAGGTGATAAAGGAAAACATTCACAAGGTGGGTTTCATCAAAACTGAAAGCTTGCGTGCTTTAAAAGACGCCATTAAGAAAATTAAAAAAAAAAAGCCACAGACTTGAAAAAAATAATTTGCAAATAATATATTCGAGAAAAGACCTGTATTCAAAATACATAAAGGGCTCCTACAATTCAAAAATAAGACAAATAACCCAATTAACGAAGGGCAAAAGATTTGAATGAACATTTCACCAACAAATGATCTATCAATATGTAAAAAAGTTCAACATCATTAGTCATTACAGAAATGCAAATCAAACTGTAAAGAGCTACTACTTCACACCAACAAGAATGGCTACAATTAATAAGACAGATAATAACAAGTGTTGATCATTACTTGGAGAATCTCGAACCTTCTTACATTACTGGTGGAAATGGAAAATGTTGCAGTCACACTGAAAACCAGTCTGGCAGTTTCTCAAAATAGTAAATATAAATTTACTATTGTCACCCAACAACTTGACTGCCAGGTATCTTCCCAAGAGAAATGAAAACACTTGTCTACACAAAGACTTGTATGTGAACCTTGAGAGCAGCATTATTCATAATCACCAGAAGTGGAAACAACCCAAATGTCCATCAACTGGCGAACAGACAAATGAAATGTGACAAACCTGTATAATGGCATCCTATCTGACAATGAAAGAACAGAGCACGTATCAGTGCCATTGCATGGAAGAACCCCGAAAACATTATACTTCGTGAAAGAAGCCAGACTCCCAGGTTCACATACTGTATGATTCTACTTATATGAATTGTCCAGAAAAGTAAAATTTACAGATAGAAAGTAGGTTAGCAGTTGCCCAGGGATGGTGGAGGAGTGACTACAAACGGAATGAAGTTCCTTGCTGGGATGATGAAGATGTTCTAAAATTAGGTTGTTAGGATAGTTGCATAACTCTGGAAATTTACTAAAAATCCACTGAATTGTATACTTAAAATGAGTGGATTTATGGTGTATAAATTATATCTCAATAAGGTTGTTAAAAAATCTTGAGCCCAGAAATTGACAAGCAAATAAAAAATTAATTAATATACTTTCATGTGGGGAATGTACATTCCTATCTAGAAGTATGTAGTCATAAATCAAGTATATTTCTTGACAAAGGATAGTAAAGTTCAGTGAATTTCTAGGATCATTAGGCTCTTTTTTAGAATTTTCATTTAATAAATTGATAGTGCATGTGATCTGTGTTATACAATTAGTAGACCTTATCACCAGTAGCAGGTAAGTTAAATTCGTTGGCCTGCTGAAGTCACCATGATCCTCAGATGGCACGTAAAGCCATATGAGGTGTGTTGGGAATTGAGAGTTTAATTCCAGCTTAGGTTATGCTTACTTGTGGAAGAAAGTTGGGCTGCGTTTCTTACCTTGTTGTATTTCATCTAGTTTACGAAACAATGTTTGAGGACAAATGTATCGAGATAAGAGGTGATGCAGGAATGCTCAGCCCAGGGCTCTGGGAAAACACAAAATTAACAGAGCCTTTACTGATAGCACACTGTGATCAAAGTTTTTCCTGAATCCATTTGCTGATTGTACAATTCATGATGTGAGAGTCAAAATGCTCCTTGACATTTCAAAAGCACCGCTAAACACTCCGTAGTAGGATCCCAGAAGACGGGGTTGGCTCAGGCCTGAGAGAGAAGGGGTGACCAGAGGAATGAAGCACAAAACCACATACGAGTAGGTGTGGAATTCCAGGGGAAAACAGCTGTAGGCAAACCAGACTGGGAAGCCTTCCAAAGTGAAGGGGGCAGGAAACAATCACAACCAGCCGTGGCCCCAGAGCTGGCCTCAGGGATGTGCCGCAGTCACATCAGGACCCTTCTTCAGCCACGCTTGGTGTCACTGTGAAACACAAAGTGCTGGGGAGAGGCGGAGGGACCTGTTCTGCCTGTGGCTAATACACTCCCTGCTGCTCAGGGCGCCTTTCCTGTACAGCCAGGTGCGTCTTCCCTGTGCATGGGGCACTTTCATGTCTGCAAATATTCACTGAGTGATGCACATGGCATCTTTCTGCCTACATCCCGATAAGTCATGAGACCTTTTAGACAACACAGAAGGTTTGACAATGACTTTCTACAATAAACTGCATGTTTTCTATATGTTGCTGGGAAGGAACAAGACATGCTGGTTATCTCATAGTTTAACATATACAGATGTTTACACTGACCAAATATAATACATACTCACTTAGAGTGGACAGCTCTATGCTTTTTAATTTTACTTTGCTCATAGGCTATTTTAAGAGATCAATAATATACTATACATTCTAAAATGTAGGTACATTTTAAATGTACATTTATTATTATACAGTATTAAAATGTACATTATTAATATACATTATTAAATGTACATTGAAATACACCGTACATTCTAAAATGGGCAGGTGAAACCAATGCCAGATAGGAGTTTTTCTGACAACTCTCTTAAACAGTGAAGCACCTGCAGATTTGACCTGGAAATTCATCTTGTTTTCAAATTCTAGAAACGTGAGCCATGAATTTTGGTCAGGCTTTGATCATTACTTTGGTCTGTGTTTTGTTCAAATAGAGTAAAAAAGCCATAAAGAATATCCTACAAAAATGCACCTATTTACCAGCCCTCGAGCCATTTCTGTACGACGCACCTCCCAACATACTGAAGCACGTGGTTGGACAATTCAGTAAGGTAAGAAATGCTCTCTTTTCTGGAAGGAGGGAAGAACATTTAAATGACTTGCTAATTTTTTTTCCCCCTGTTGGGTCAACATCTTCTTCTGAAAGACGGGGGCAGGGCTTTACTCCTTAGTTCTCACTGATTGTAGCGACAGGGAAGGGAACACAGTTTAATAAAATTCATGTAAGTTAATAAAATTCACACGTATGTAATTCATACTTCTTTCTTCACATTTTCCTCACAGCCCCTGTACTGTCTCTGTTAGCGTTCTTGGGGCAAAAACAGTATGTCAACATATAAAAACCTCACAATACAGGTAGTTTATATTGAAAAGTAACTTAGTAATTACCTGGGTGTCTATTACCCTCACTCATCTGGGAACACTGCAAAGATCTTATAAAGAAAAATAAAAAGGTCTCTAAGCCATTTATGACAAAGTCGGTGCACTTTACCGGACGTGCTTTCCGAGAGTCATTTAGAGTTTATTGATTTATTTTATGAACAGTTTTAACAAATATAGCCATCATCTTTCTTAGATCATTGCAGATTAAAAGCAGCAAGGTAGAAAGGTTGGGCTGCTGGATGTGGGCTTAGCCAGCAGAACTGACTGACTGACTGCAAGCAAAGGCTGAGAGAGAGCGACAATATTCCCACAGCCACTGATGGCCAGGACGCTAACCCTAGGCTGTAAAGAACTGGCTAAATGGTGCTCAGATTTGATTTAAGAAAATGGGGTCTTTGGAAGTAGCATCCCATAGTGGTTATGAGCTCAGGCTCTGGAGTTAGGGTGCCTGGATTTCCCATTTACCAGCTGTAATATCTTTAGCAAAGCCTTGACCTCTCTAAGCCTTGGTATGATTACCCATAAAACAGGGGTAATAGGAGTTCCTATTTTATAAGGTCATTGTGAAGATTAAATGATATGTTATATATGTAAAGAGTTTAGCTTAATCTCAGGCACATATTAAGCCCTCAACCCCCTCCCCCCACTGAAAAACCCAAAATGTTTTTAAGAAATAAAACACAGAACTGCTTAAGGTCGATGTTAACAAATTAATAAACATAGATGGGGGTCAAATTTACTTGAATAGTTAGGAAGCTATGTAATGGAGGTACTACTCAGTGTATACTCTATTTCTCCAAACAATAATGAACGAAAACTATATATGGTTGCAACCTTTCAAAAAATGTTTTATTTTTGAGAGACAGAGAGAGAAAGCGAGAGCATGGGCCGGGGAGGGACAGACACAGAATCTGAAGCAGGCTCCAGGCTCTGAGTTGTCAGCACAGAGCCTGACACGGGGCTCGAACCCACACCAGTGAGATCATGACCTGAGCTGAAGGTGGACACCCAACTGACTGAGCCACCCAGGGGCCCCTATATTGTTACAACTTTTAAACTAGGCCCTGCACCTGCTTAGGTCTAGTTTCAGGCACTCATCTGAAAGAGAAAACTGTTTTCTAACAGCCTTCAGTTGTCCATCCTCCATGGTCTCCAGGAGCTCAGCCGAGCCTCAAGGACTGGAGTCACTGGACAGCCTGCTTCCTTTTGGCGAGGCTGCCTTGGGATATGGTTCTGTGTGTCACCTATGTTCTGTTTCCCCTGCTAGAAAAATAAGCAACCTTTTTTTTTTTCTGGGTACCAGTTAAGAAGCTGAGCGGTGAATTTGATCAACTGAAAGGGGGAGGGAGTTGGCTGGCGAGTGGCTCCTCTACCGAGCCCTCAGCTCTTGAAAATGAACAGCCGACATTATTTCTGGAAGTTTTATTTTATGGTCTAATCTTTCAGGTGACTGAGTGAGGTATTCTAGTCTTATTGAATTAGCTAAGGAAATGAAGACTGACCCGAACTGAGTTCAAAATTAAGTCACTAAACCAGTGGGATTTGCGGAAGTTAAAATAAAGACAAGTACTACACAGCGTTCGCTCTTACAGATGTGCCTTTGGGAGTATGCTTCAGGCAGAATTTTGTGTTTTATACTTTGAGTTTATTTATTTTTGAGAGAGAGAGAGAAAGAGAGAGAGAGAGAGAACCCCAAGCAGGCCCTGTGCTGTGGGTGCAGAGCCCCCACGGGACTTGAACTCACAAACTGTGAGGTCTTGACCTGAACTGAAATCAAGAGTCAGACGTGTAACTGACTGAGCCACCCAGGGGCCCCTGTGATTTCTCAATCTAAGGGTACCAGAGCACTAGAAAGAGATGAGAAAGCAAGACAGAAGGTAAAAAGACATTGGTTTAATGAGGGTGGGGACAGAGATAGGAGGGAATGAAAACTTTCTGAGCCAAACAAAATATTTAAAACAGATATATCTGTAGGCTGTTTCATTTTTTAGAAATACAGAGTAGTGTCATCTCTTACTGTCCTGTCGGTGTGTAGCAAGATCCTTTTGTAATTTTATTTTATTTAAAAAAAATTTTTTTAAATTTTTTATTTATTTCTAGGAGAGAGAGACAGCGTGAGCAGGGGAGGGTCAGAGAGAGAGGGAGTCACAGACTGAAACAGGCTCCAGGCTCTGAGCTGGCAGTCAGCACAGAGCCCGACGCGGGGCTCGAACCCACAAACGGCGAGATCATGACCCAAGCGAAAGTCGGACGCTTAACCGACTAAGCCACCCAGGCGCCCCGATCCTTTTGTAATTTTAAAATGCCTACATGTACCCAACACTCTGTTAAACACTGGGGAACAGGCAAAAAAGAATACGACCAAGTTCTTCTTCAAGGAACTTTATCATCTAGCTGGGGGGACCAGACAAAACAATTAGAAACTCTTTTTTTTTTTTTTTTTTTAATTTAAGAAGGAATTAGTGAATGCAGGCTGAGGTATTCTGAGAGGCCTTCGATGGAGGAAGTAGAGGGGAACAAAGCTGGTCTTTGAAGAAAGAGTAAGAGAAGAGCGGGAAAAGAAGGGTGTTTCTGAAGCCGGCGGTTGAAATATGACGAGGCAGGTGCACGGCACGGCGAGTGCTTTAACGGAATGCTAGAGAGAGAAGAGACGATCTCATCCCGGGATAAAGGGGAAGAGGCTCCTAGAGAAACTTTCTGACACCTGAGCTGAATCTTAAACGATGAATGAGAGCCAAGCCAACTCACGGAGATGTGTGGAGGGTGGAAGGGCATTCTGGAAAGAGGAAACAGCACAGGTAAAGGCAAGAAATGGCCCAGCGTGCACCCGTGGAGCTTAGTGAAACAAAATTTAGGATGCAGGTTGGTAGGGAAGGAAGCTGTAGAGGTCTTTAGGACCTGAGTCACAGACGGCCCTCAAGGCCTCATTAAGAAACTTGCCTTTAATTCTGTGGGTAGTGGAGGGACTCGAATGGGTGTGAGCAAAGCAGGGACACTGCTTTACTTTTACGTACATGAGGGGCTCCCTAGCACCTTGCCTTTATTCCATCTCCTCAACGTAAAACGCTAATACGTTTCTAAAAAGACTACATTTTACTTCGAATTGTCAGCAACTTTAGGTTCATTATGTTACTGATATATTGCACATAAATTCTCTCCCACATTTCCTCAGATATATTAGTTCTTTTCACTAATAATAATCCCACTTGGAAAAGGAAAGCTGACCGTCTTATGTGCTTGACTTCTCAAGGTACTGCCGCATGACAGCAAAGCTCGACGGCTTTTTGTAACCAGCGGTGGGCTGAAAAAGGTTCAGGAGATAAAGGCAGAACCCGGCTCTCTCCTTCAAGAATACATCAACAGTATTAACAACTGTTACCCGGAGGAGATAGTAAGGTGGGAAAAATGGACAATGTTATAATGTAGTTTTTCTGTTTTTAAATCTAGATTTTATGTCCACCGTGTCAACTTGTGGTCTTTGAAATACTACATAAGACCAGTGTATACCTTTACTTGTCTCTTGATCTCTCCCCTCCCTCAATTTAATAATGGTCTGATTGAGACACACACATCTCCAAATCAAAGTGGAATGTCATTTGAGACACCTCTGTACTAACACATGCTTTACTAAACAGTACCCAAATGCAGAGTCCAAGTTAAATTAACAGTTTTCAATGTGAAACTGATTTAGAAAGGGCCTATAGCTTCTGATTTTCATAGTTCCCTGCGTATTATTTTTCTGCCTTAAGCTCACATTTATATTAATAGGAGTATTACAAATAGAAAAGAGATGTCAAGTGGCAAAAAGAAAGTTACTATCTGTATTTGAAAAACAATCACGTTTGTGGTATGCAGGTGCCTTATAGTAATGTAGCAGTTAGTTCTCTTCAAGATTAATTTTTTAATAAGGTTGCTTCGTAGAGCATTACACCTAAGCCTCGGGCCTTGTAAGTCTAAAGAACTATACCACTGATACCAAAGTAAATACAAGCAAAGTTACCAAGAAAAGATAGAATGATTTCAACAAGTGAGTTTTGAAAAAATGCCCAAAAACATTCAAGAATTAAAGGCCATATTTATCTGTATTTGTCAAATCCTACATTCACTTCTTATTTTCTCTACTTAACCTTAAAGAATATAAATTGCAATGTTTAAACCTTATGTTATTAAAAAAAACCCAAAAAACCTTATGTTATAATTTATATAAGTTACATAAATATACCTCTTCCTATTTAATATTAGTGGTTTTAATATATGTGGTAACACTCATTGTAGAAGCACAAAATAATTTTCTGTAAGAGTAAAATTTGTCTTCTTTTCATATATATTCTTCCAGTAAACACTTTCCAGAGGTATAAGTCATGCACTTTTGTGAGGTTTATGAGAACTGCTTGACCAAAAGAGTTCCAATAAGTTAGCTTTAAAAATATTAATATATAAAAAATAATATCAAAGGAGTAGCATATCATAAGTATATATCTATGTATATAACATACAAATAAAATAACATACAAAAAGCTTACATAACATATAAAATATGTGTGAAACCATTAAATGAAGGAAATATGAAAATCTTTAATCAGGAAAAGAAAACAAAATTAATTTGCATATCTTCTTCGCTTCAGGAAGAATGCTATTTTATGTAAATTTTGGATAAAGAAGATGTGGTGTGTGTGTGTATATATATATATACATATATGAATATTAGTCATCAAAAAGAATGAGCTCTTGACATTTGCAATGATGTGGATGGAGCTAGAATGCATTATGCTAAGCGAAATAAGTGAATCAGAGAAAGACAAATACCATATGACTTCACTCATATATGGAATTTAAGAAACAAAACAGATAAACATATGGGAAGGTGGGGGGAGAGAAGAGAGGGAAACAAACCACAAGAGACTCTTAACAACAGAAAAAACTGAGGGTTGATGGGGAGAGGTGGGTGGGACATGGGCTAGATGGGTGATGGGTACTAAGGAGGGCACTTGCGATGAGCACTGGGTGCTGCGCTGAATTCTACTCCTGAGACCAATATTGCATGGCACGCTAACTAACTGAAATTTAAATAAAAAATAGAGTAACTTTCAATGTAATTTTCTAACAAACAAAATTATAGAAAAATGAAGGGAAAAAAAACCCCAAAGGGCCCAAAATGGAATAACCTATTAGAATTAACCAACAGTAAGGTACTTTCTTGAATAGTAGTCTTCTTTCTACTCCTTTCCAGAATTACTTTACAGAGCTCTAGGGGAAAATGAAACTGTCACATTAGAATGTAATCTGGTGCTTTGTCAAAAAGCACTGTGAAATCTTAACCTCCCATTCTATTTAACGTACAATATTGTTGGAAAATTTTAATCTCACATTTAACCTTACAATATTAACCTCAAATCTATGATCTGGGATTTATTTATTTATTTATTTATTTATCTATTTATTTCTGAGAAAGAGAGACAGCGTGAGCAGGAGAGGGTCAGAGAGAGAGGGAGACACAGAATCCGAAGCAGGCTCCAGGCTCTGAGCTGGCTGTCAGCACAGAGCCTGACATGGGGCTCGAACCCATGAACCGGGAGATCATGACCTGAGCCGAAGTCAGACACACGACCGACTGAGCCACCCACCCGCCCCTGGGATTTCATTTTAAAAATTGGCTAATTATCAGGGCACCTGGGTGGCTTTAGGTTAAGCATCCAACTCTTGGTTTTGGCTCTGGATGTGATCTCGTGATTGTGGGATCTAGCCCCGCAACAGGCTCTGTCCATACTAAGCGTGGAGCTCACTTGGGATTCTCTCGCGATCCCTCTCTCTCTGCCCCTCCCCAGTCTGCACTTTATCTCTCAAAATAAATAAACATTTAAGAAATTGGCTAATTATCATGAAGAATTCTAATTAGCTTTTTCATGTTTGTCATATTTTTTAAAGCATCAGGTTCTATAGAACTACAAAGGTGTTTTGTAGATATCTTATAAACATTATCTATGAAAATGGACAAATGTAAGCTTGGGATGGTTTTATTTTTGTGATCATATAATTCTCAGGAATCATTGAGTGACTATTTTAGGACTGTTATTCTTTACAAGACAGATTATCAATGGATACATTCTTTCAGCTGTTATTAGCCTAAATATTTATTTCATATTGCCATATTTAAAAATCTCTAATAAAGATGGCTGGTGTGATGAGAAGGAGCTCAGAACTAGATGTTGGAAGGCCTGGGTTCTAATCCTAGCCCACTCCACAGCGGGACGGGATTTTTGGAACTCTACCGTCTTCTGGATCTTTGCCTAGACTAGACTATGTGATAATCAATATAAAAAATTATTAATGAGCCATTTCACTTTTTATACTAAGTTTTTGAAATCTGGTAGGTATTTTATCACTTACAGTACATTTCAATTCAGATGCTAAATTTTATTAGAAATACTTTTCTGTATTTAGATAACATAAAGTTCATAGTTGAAAAAGTAGATTCATAAGTTGTTCTAAAGACACCTAAAAGTTTCACCTAAAATAATTGACTGGAGTATCAGCTTTTACAATTAAATATAAAAATTCAATTCCTCAGTCTTGACACCCAGTATTTTTAAAAAGTTTATTTATTTATTTTGACATAGAGTAAGAGAAAGAGCATGGGTACACGTGAACAAGGTGGGGAGGGACAGAGAGACAGGGAGAGAGAGAGAATCCCAAGCAGGCTCCATGCTCAGTGCAGAGTGAATGCAGGGCTCGATCTCATGAACCATGAGATCTTGCTTCATGAGATCATGACCTGAGCCAAAGACCAGAGTCAGACACTTAACCACCTGAGCCCTCCAGGCTCCCTACAGTAGCCGTATTTCTAACGCTCAATAGCCACGTGTGGCGAGTGGCTACCATATGAAGCAGCACCAGTTTTTAAGGTTTGGTTTTTCTAAATCTACTTCTTACCATTTATATAAAAAGCACCTATCTTGTGTCTGACCCATTTATGAGGCCTTGGAAGGTGAGGCCTGTTTTAAAATTTGTGAGTAACTCAGAGAAAGAGCTGCAACTTCCTCAGTGTAAGAGTACCTCAAAGATAGGGCGCCTGGGTGGCTTAGTCGGTTAAGCGTCCGACTTTCGCTTAGGTCATGATCTCGCGGTTCGTGGGTTCGAGCCCCGCGTCGGGCTCTGTGCTGACTGCCAGCTTGGAGCCTGGAGCCTATTTCAGGGTCTGTATCTCCCTCTCTCTCTGACCCTCCCCTGCTCACGCTGTCTCTCTCTCTCTCCTAGAAATAAATAAAAATTAAAAAAAAAAAAAAAAAGAGTACCTCAAAGAGACCCCCCTGTTGAGGACAGTTTTCTCAAGGGTTGGATGCCTTTAGAGGAGAAATATTTTATAGGGTAACTGTTTATGTATGCATGTATCTGTGTAGCTATGACTGCCTCTAGGTACACTATCAAGAAAATACTGTTCTTTTTTGTCTACCTTAACTCGAGAACTTGTAGAAGAAATTTAGAGTTTTCAAGTCACACATGTGAAGATAGGTAAAGAAAAAGGACAAAGCAAATCTTGAACATCAGATTTTATCTGGAGAGAAGACCTTAGGAGGTTTAATTATTTTGAGGGTTTTGGAAAATTTCAAATTACACTTACTTAGATTTTTTATCTGTTTATTATATTCTAGAATGCCTGCCAAATGTTATTTGACATACTTCTAGTTGTATGGAAATTCTTTGCACAGATACGTGGCATGCCATAATGCATTAATCAATATATTAATCAATATATTTAATACCTTCATAGTATATATTTTACAAAATCTTCAATTTGTAAATATAGATTTTAGTACTATAGATGCCCCAAATCAATGAAAATGACTAATTTCCTAAGTTTGTATGATAGGATATCTGTAAGCCATTTAATAAATAGTTCTTTAATGTGACTTATTTTTTTAACTTTTTAAAATGTTTTATTATTTATTTTTAAGAGAGAGAGAGGCAGAGCATGAGTGGGGGAGGGACAGAGAGAGAGGGAGACACAGAATCTGAAGCAGCTCCAGGCTCTGAGCTGTCAGCACAGAGCCCAATGCAGGGCTTAAACTCACGAATTGCAAGATCATGACCTGAGCTGAAGTCGCATGCCTAACTGACTGAGCCACCCAGATGCCCCTTAATGTGACTTATCATCCCAGAAATTTTTGTTTTTATGGGTGGCCAGATCTGATTAAAACATACAGTGAGAATAATCTGTAAGGCAATCAGAATGTAGACACTGATTAGTAATGATAGACTGTATTGTCTAACTTATGAAAAAACCTACTAGCTATGGTCACTAAAGCAATATAAATCATTTAACATAATAAAAACAGTCTCTATAATAAGATACTATCCAAGTATCTTGCTTTGAAAATACTTCTGTGCATTAATTAATAACCCTCAAAGTTTTTGCTATTTATCTAGCAGGGACTTGTGAGTTGGTGTTTTCTTCCTTGATAGCCCCAAAACTTATGCACAGAGCATTACTGGAGCTTAATTATTCAGGGTATCGTTGAAGTTGCACTGATAGAATTAATTTAGATAAATGCCTTATATTGAATCTTTTGTGCCTACTGTGATGAATCATTTCACAAGTATTTAATAGAAAATTTTCTTTTCCAGGTATTATTCCCCTGGATATTCAGAAACACTTCTGCAGAGAGTGGACAGCTATCAACCACTTACTAACTAAGCCAAGTTCTAATTCACAGCAGAGTATTTTGAATGATAGTTGTTAAAGTTCTTTCCAAATACTTGAACCAAGTACATTCTAGACTTATTCAGTGTGAAATAGCTTTGGATAATATTTTCTAAATTTCTGTAAAAAGATTAGCGGCCTGAATAAATGAGGAACTGTTGTTCATTTGCATAGGATTTGTTCTAGGGGTGAATTGTAAAAAGACATTCAAAGGGGTTAAGGCTTTTGTTATTGTTCTATTAACCATCCCCGGCTCGCAAACACACACCCCCCCAACTAGACATAGACGAACAATGATGTTGAAAACTCTTAGTTATTTTGGCCAGTTCCTCCTAGACACAGGCAAGGAAAACTGACCTTGCAAATTCCCCAGGAGGACACTGAAGGGAAATGTCACAAGAGGAAACTGATGACAGAAGTATAAGGCACTTGAGACTCTGATGCTCTTTACATAAATGCATTAACCCAACATTTGGAATCTATGGATGACCCATCAGGCTTTCCTAATAACTGAGGAAGCTCTCCTCCTCTTGATGCCAAATCTTCTAAGCTCTTTTCTCACCTCACCAAAAATGGCTCCTTACCTTTCATGGAGCTGGAGAGGGAGGAAGTCACTGTTAAGCATTATTCCACCGCAGACATGCTTCCCATTTCATTGAAAGGCTCCTGAGTTCAGCCCTGCTCGCGAATAAACAAGTAAGCAGGCAAGTAAAGTGGGTCCTTTGTGTACCCTGTCCTGGCTTCACTTCCCCAAGTTCTAAAATCACATTTCCAGGGATTTAAAAAATAATGTACAAAGAATACCACCAGGCTTAGACTTTGCATGCATCTTCACTTAGGGTGCTGAAAGGGGGTGAGAGGGAGTTTCAATTAAATTTTAAATAAAAACAAGAGAATTGTCGTCTGCATGTTTCCTGGAGTGTTAATTCTGAACTTGGGGAATACATAAGTAGGTTTAAGAGTCTTGGTTAGTTGGCGTGTGTGTGTGTGTGTGTGTGTGTGTGTGTGTGTGTGTGTGAGTTAGTCTGTCTGTCTGTTGATCTAAAAGGGGTGTCCTTACAGTGATCTTCCCTGGAGGCCTGGAGAGGAGGTGGGTTATAACCAGAGAGCCCTTAGGCCACAGTGTTCCCAACCTGGCCAACCTTCAAGTTTCCTTCTTGGATTCTTTTTCTCCTCCCCTCCCCCCGCCCCCAAAGAACCTACCCATTTAATTTTGGTATTTTCCAGATTCATCTGTCATCATTTCCTAACAGGGTATAACTTTGTTGCATTTTTAAAAATTGTTTTTCTTTTTGAAAGAGCACAAGCAGGGGAGGGGCAGAGAGAAGGGGACAGAGGATCTGACGTAGGCTCTGCACTGACAGCAGAGAGACTGACGTGGGGCTCGAACTCACAAACTGCGAGATCATAACCTGAGCTGAAGTCAAACGCTGAGCCGACCGAGCCCCCCAGGTGCCCCTGTTGCATCTTTATAAACACCATCATACCCAAGATGGTCCCATTTCTTTTTACCTTATATCAGGCTAGGATTGCTTGCAATTTGACTTGTTAATACTTTCCAGGGCCTAACCAGCTTCTCCTGTGAACCGGTCAGCAGCCTGAGAAAATAAAGGTAGTTTTCATCTTTCTTCATTAATACCATTTTTCTTCGATGGCCACGTCGGTAATGACAAAAACCAGCGTGTCTGGGATGAACCCCCCGCTCCTCCGCCCAAGCTGTTATGGGAACACTGAATTTCTGATCATGTATTTCTTGCCACTGTATGTTGAGGTAGCTTTTCACTTCATACAGTATTTCATACCTATCAAAGAAATAAAACTTTTAATAGTGTTTGGATACGTGCTATAATTTTATCATATGCAATTTGGAAAATACATGCTGTGAAATGTTTCTTACTATAAAACACTGAAGGCATAATTAAGCTTGCTTTATTTTTAGAAAAGTCTATTATGAGACTTTTTTTTTTTTTTTGAGAGAGAGAGAGCACATGTGGGAGCTGGGGAGGGGCAGACAGAGAGCGAAAGAGAATCTCCAGGAGCCTCCATGCCCAGCACATAGGCCAACACAGGGCTGTATCACATGACTGTGGGATCATGACCTGAGACAATTTCAAGAGTCAGAAGCTTAACTGACTGAGCCACCTAGGTGCCCCACTATTATGAGACTTTTGAAAAACTAACATACATATATATATATATTTTTTTTTTTTTTTTTCTTTTGTATTTGTGCTAGAGCAAACTAATGCCTCTCATTGGCGGGATTCTCCTTGATACTTTAACCCCTGGTTTGAATTTGGTAAATTCCTATTCTCTGGGCAGAACAACTGTGTCTCACTGCTCTCTCTCCCTGTTCCAGTTTATTTAAAATTCAACTATCATTAGGATATTTCACTTAGCTTATATTTAATACTTCAGTTCAGGAATGGAATGCTTGAACCTTATTATGGGTTGAAATTTATTATTCGTACAGTTTAGCTGTTGTGAAAAGAGGTGCATTTTCAGTGGTGCTGAAGAGAGATGTGGGAAATCTGGGTTCTAGCCATAGCTGTTAAACAGGAAGGGCACATAGTACTTGTTCAGCTTGCTCACAGGACGCTTATGAATTAACCTGCAGTGAGGCATGTAACAACTGTGTAAACTCTTCATTCTGTGCAAACTGACATGTGACTTAAGGGGCCCCTGACAGTCAATGACAGAGGACACATTTGGGCTGGCGGTTGGGCACGCCAGGCCCCATACTTTTTGGTAAGTGGAGTTGATGCCAGATGATTTATGATCGAAAAAAATGACACTGCCTGCTCTCGTAGAGTTTACTGGTATAAACACATTTGCCCAGATGCAGGGAGTAAACTAAGCGTGAGACACAGGCATGTTTCATGTAAATGCAAATGACAGCCTCATATTTACAGGAGGTTGGCCTGTTTCTGGTTTTTGTTTTTTTCAAGTTTTAATTTTAATTCCAGTTGGTTTTGACCTTTCTTTCTAACCCTTTCCTCTGAAACTACCCCCTGAAAGAAAGGGTTAAAGATTTGCTCATTTCTAATCTCAATCTGAGGTCCTACACACTATAAACTCTGACCGTAAATTCCTTGGTGAGGTCCTCTCCATTCCAAGATGTCAAGGTCAGAAACTGACCTTGAAAGAATGAAGGATTCATCTGTTTTCAAATCGCCAACACTTTGGTTAAGTTAGGTGCAAGTCAATGTTGAGCCTTGTGTATACTGTGGCTTATTTTACCACAAAATTCACTGTCTAGAAAATATTGATTTGTGGCTATTCTGTTTCAGAGATTAAAAGGATTAAATGACAGTACTATAACTACTGCACTTACCAGCTGGTTAAGGGACTTAGGACTTTTAAAATCCAATTTGTCTACAATTGGATTGTAGCAATTATTTTTCTAGTAATATATTCATTTTTAAGAAGACTTCATAGGGTATAAAATTAGACAATATTCAGTGACATTGCTTTAAAGAATGGTAAGTTTCATTGTATTTTAGTAAGTGGTGTTTTAAAAAATTAAGCCATATAGGAAAGGAAAAAGAAAAAAGCAAAAATATCACTCCAAATATCACAACCCAGAAAATGAGTGCCATTAACAAGTGGGCACAATTCCACATACCTCTCTGAGCCTTTGTACAGATTAAAAAAAAAAAAACTTAGAAAAGTGTATTCATGCTATTCATGTTTTTTTTTTAAACAAAAAAACAAAAGCTGTAACAGCTTGTTTCACACAAGATGGAATTTTTCAATTTTTTCTTATTTCAGTGGGTGTAGGGAAAATGTCTCCTCAGTCCTAAATTAAGGATCAATATAAAGTATTTATAAATGGGCTCCTTTTATTAATGATTTTATTAATGATTAATTGGCTAGTATTTGCTACAGAGATTTTATCCTTTATATATTTTGGTTTTCTTAGGAGACTTTTCTTTTCAGAAGTGATTCTATGAAACATACCAGGAAGTTTAATGTATGTTTTGTTCCTTTCTCTTCACACCTGAAGCTATGATTTTGTGACTGGTGTAGAGATTTTAAACTGAATGCTTATCGGTTTTTACAACACTGGGTCAAGAATATTACACTAAAAATACATCAGTTTGCAAGGTGGGTTGGTGTGGATACTTACACAGTAAGCAACGCCTGTAATTTCCCCCCATATATAGAATTTGTGATAACACACTCCTGCTAAACTTTATACTAACATATAGAATGGATACTGATGATAAGTATTTACTCAAAGTAGTTTTGGGCATAAACAAGTCCAATCCTTCGAGAGCTGCTGTAATAACCTATATTAAGTTCGCTGCCATCTGTAGCACGTACAGTTTAGAACATACAGATGTAGGGGCACCTGGGTGGCTCAGTCAGATAAGCTTCCGAATTCGGCTCAGGTCATGATCTCACGGTTCGTGGGTTCGAGCCCTGCATCGGGCTCTGTGCTGACAGCTCAGAGCCTGGAGCCGGTTTCAGATTCTGTGACTCCCTCTCTCTCTGACCCTCCCCTGCTCATGCTCTCTCTCTCTCTCAGAAATAAATAAAAAACATTAAAAAGATAAAACAAAATAAAACATACAGATGTAATTAAAATTCCAAGAGAGTGTCGTCCCCCCACGTTTTCCATCACTAACTCAGGTAGGTCCCTTCTCTTGGACGAAATGCGCCCTGCTCTGTGACAGCCACAGTGGCACGCACCCTCATCAGGACCTCACAACCACTACACCCCAACTCAGTGGCCGTCAGCGCGTTCCCAATAGCACCCATTTTACAGGGTCCTGAGCACGAAACAGGGTGAATGGGCACAGGGCCTGGCATGCGGTAAGCGGTGACACCAGCAACTATATGGTGTAATTAGAAAAAGGTGCACAGTCCTCAAGATACTTTACTTTCATCGAGCGGAAATTGTTGTAATATTCTCATTTTTAGACCAAGACCCTTTACTGCCATCTGCTGGAAAATTCTCTTAATAAATATGCAAATCCGTTTCTTTTTTTTTTTTTTAAATTTTTTAAAATGTTTTATTTATTCTACTTCTCTCACTTTCCACACAGAACAGTACGTTCTACAGTAAAACGCGCAATTTAAGTTAGCAGAGATACTGATTAAGCCACTATTCTGGCATTTACAAAAACCGAAAGAAATACGAGGCATACATATACAAAATGAAGGTATGTTTTGGAATAATCCATACAGCATTTTAATCTTTTTTTTAAATTTTTTTTTTTTTAATTTCTAGGAGAGAGAGAGAGACTGAGCGAGAGCAGGGGAGGGTCCGAGAGAAAGGGAGTCACAGACTGAAACAGGCTCCAGGCTCTGAGCTGGCAGTCAGCACAGAGCCCGAACCCACGAACCGCGAGATCATGACCTAAGCGAAAGTCGGACGCTTAACCGACTAAGCCACCCAGGCGCCCCAGCATTTTAATCTTGATTTTAAATATCATGTCATCCCTGCAATGTGGCAGACCTCGGGAAAGCAGCCCTGCAGGGGCTCTGCTCGCCTTGTTCATCCCGGAACCTGGGCTGGGATATGATGGGTGACTCCTAACCAAATAGCCTTTATTGAAGGGATCATTGTAGGACCTTTTTGTACACCAAAGGCAAAAACGTGGCTCATCCTCATACCGGGCAGCACAATCACGAAGAAGACTGAGTATAGCTGGCGGGGGGCTGGTGGGGGGGTTGTTGATAATAACACTCTCCCAGAATACGGGATTCATCTCCCCGGCAAGGTGCCAGGTGTGAGCAGGGCTCCTGGAAGTTTGGAAAAGCAACATCTCATCCTAAGTGAAGTGGAAGTGTTGTACCTGCGAAGGCAGACTGGAGGCAGGTATCAAATGCCTCGGGGGGGGGGCGGGCGGGGGGCAGGCGTGGCGGAGTGCGTGCCTACACAGGGCTGGAAAAGCC